GTGGGGCTGGCGCTGGCGCGGCGGCGGCGCGGCGGCAGGTGAGGGGTTTGGGGGGCTTTGGGGGGGATTTGGGGGGTTTGGGGTTCAGGGTTTGGGGTTCGGGGCTGGTATTGTGGCTGGCGCTGGCGTGGCGGCAGCAGGTGAGGGTTTTGGGGGGATTTGGGGGAATTTGGGCATTTTGGGGTTCAGGGTTTGGGATTTAGGGGGTCCCACGTTTGTCCCAGTGGGGCTGTCGGTGGCCCACAGGTGCTGGGGGGGCAGGTGAGGTTTCGGGGGGAATTTGGGAAATTTGGGGTCTCTCTGTGAGTTCCAAAGGGGATTTTTTGGGGGGTCCCGGTAGGCTCCAGGGCAGGATTTGGGGTTTTTGGGGGAGGTCTCACAGCAGGTTTTGGCAGCAGGACCCCGGCGGACGCAGGGGGGACCCCTCAGCTGAGCCCCCCCGGGCCGGAGCGGCGCCCCCAAAGAGCCTCGGCCACGCGGGTGAGACCCCCGAGACCCCCAGATCCCCCCCGGGGACCCCAAATCCCCCCCAGGACCCCCAAACCCCCTCCCTTTAACCCCTTTTTCCCCCCCTCAGGTGTGACCCCAGGTGTGCCCCAAATCCAGGCAATAAACGGAATTCCGGTGGTTTTGGGCTTTCTTTGGGATTTTTTGGGGGTTTTCGTGTTTCTTTGAGGTTTTTGGGGTTTTTTGTAGGGTTTTGGGGGTGTCCCTGGTGTGTTTTTTGGGCAGAGGGGGGGTCAGAGCTGCAGGAACTCGGCCACGAAGACCAGCAGGACCTTGGGGTTTATTTGGGGGGTTTTTTTGGGTTTTTGGGGGGTTTTTTTGGGTTTTTTGGGGTTTATTTGGGGGTTTTGGGGTTTTTTTGGGGTTTCCGTGTGGTTTTTGGGGTGTCCCTGGTGTGTTTTTTGGGGACGGAGGGGTCAGAGCTGCAGGAACTCGGCCACGAAGACCAGCAGGACCTTGGCCAGGTCCTGCACGGTCGGGGGGTGCAGGTTGGCCTCGTTGTCCTCCGGCGTGTGCCAGACCCGCGGGAACGGTGTCGGGATCAGGTGCAGCACCGGCACTCCTGGGGACAGGGACAGGGACATCAGGGACACTGAGGAGCCTCAGGGGACATTGGGGGACATTGGGGGGACATTGGGGACATCGGGGACACTGAGGAGACCAGGGGACTTTGGGGACACTTTGGGACAGTTGGGGACAGCCACCTCAGTGCAGGAAGAGAAGGACCCCAGAGGGACATCAGGGACACGGGGGGACACTGAGGAGCCCAGGGGACACTGGGGACAGTCTGGTGACAGTTTGGGGACAGCGGGGACAGCCACCTCGCCGCAGGAAGGGCACGTGGTCGTCCTCGACAGGCCCCGGCGCCGGCTCCAGGCGGAAGAACGGCGGCTCCGGCGGCGCCGCGTGCAGCAAACCCAGGCGGCGCAGGCGCTGCTCTGCGGGGACACGGGGGACAGCGGGGACATTGGGGACATCGGGGACATTGGGGACACGGAGGACATTGGGGACACGGGGGACATTGGGGACAGCGGGGACATTGGGGACACGGAGGACATTGGGGACACGGGGGACAGCGGGGACATTGGGGACATCGGGGACAGCGGGGACATCAGGGACATTGGGGACATCGGGGACATCAGGGACATTGGGGACACAGGGACATTGGGGACATCGGGGACATTGGGGACACAGGGACAGCGGGGACATCAGGGACATTGGGAACATTGGGGACATCAGGGACATTGGGGACATCGGGGACATTGGGGACATCGGGGACAGCGGGGACATCAGGGACATTGGGGACAGCGGGGACATTGGGGACATCAGGGACATTGGGGACATTGGGGACAGTGGGGACATTGGGGACATGGGGACATTTGGAACATTGGGGACACGGGGACATTGGGGACATTGGGGACACGGGGATATTGGGGACAGTGGGGACACGGGGACGTTGGCGACACGGGGACATTGAGGATATCGTGGGGACACGGGGACATCGAGGACATGGGGAACATTGGGGACATTAGGGACATGAGGCCATCACTGTCCCCGTCCCGCCATTGTCCCCTCACTGTCCCCGCCCCTCCACTGTGTCCCCAGCCCTGTCCCCTCCCTGTCCCAATGTCACCCCTCGCTGTCCCTTCCCTGTCCCCATTGTCCCCTTCCCATCCCTGCTGTCCCCGTCCCCCCCGTCCCTGTGTCCCTCCCCCCCCCCCATGTCCCCCCCCCCCCCCTGTCCCCGTCCCCACCCCCCCCTCCCCTGTCCCCCCCGTCCTTCCCATCCCCGTCCCC